TCCACAAAAATCTGAGCAAAGTATCTCATGCGTGGCAGAAAAATCGGGAATCAATCGTAATCTTGATTCAAACCTTTTTAAGGAAAAATAATACGTGGAACCTTACTCATTATGTATAAAGACCTACACTCTGAAAACAGCGTTTCAAGCCATTTAGAAAGTAGGTCAATTTCAAACTTCGCTTTCCTTAACATCTTTCAGTGAGCTTTCTTTCTAAACCTCTCATCAATTGGTCACTCAGATAGAAGCGAAAGTTTTAAGGCTAATGGAGCTCACACTCCAACCTCCAATACTGAATCACATACGGGGAGCCATTCTCTGAGAAACTCGATTCCTATTGGTTCCCTGGCCCACCAGTAGGGTTGCGAGGCCAATGGGCCTCGTATTCGAACTCCCTGCCCCAAAATACCTACTGGGAGCCCTTTTTCAGAAAACTCGATTTCTATTGGTTCCCTGGCGCACCAATCAGACACCGGACAAACAGACAAATTTCCGTTGTGAAGACTCATCCTTTCAGGATTGAGAATAAAGAAATAAAAATACAATTGCTAATGAATTAACTTCTGCTGATGTTATCTTATAAAATTTAGACGTTTCAGATTCAATAGGAGCCAATGTTATACTTGTTATGGCGTTTGAAAATGTTGCCAACACAAAAACAATTAATTGAATCCATCGTTTTCGATATACACGATAATGTGTTACTTCTATTGAATCCATTTTTGTTTTGTTCTATTTATTCTTATATGTTTTACTATATTATGTTTTATTTATTTCATTTATAATATTTTTATCTAAAAATCTTATCTTTCGTGCTTTCATTTTCAGAATATATTTTCATTTAGATAAACAAAAACAAAAACTTTTTTAAACTTCACTTTTTCTGGATTATTTCGAGAAAAAAACAATCAATCGGACGTTCAATTATATTCTATCTACTTTTATATTTCTTAGAAGACAACAAAAGAATTTCAGATATCTTGATTATTCTTTTCTTTTTATTACCAGTATTTCATTAATTGAATATTGTATATGATATTGTAATTAAATTAAATACTATTTTTCTTTTTTGTTATTTTATGAACATAAATATGAAAAATAAACATTTTTGAACTTTATTATTCTAAAGATTGCAATTGAATTTAAATTAATTAATATAAAAATAATAGATGATAAACTAAAAAGAATTCTGTATTAGTATAAATCAATAATTATTTTCAAGACGTGAAATTGAAATACGAGCTGTTATCAATGATCCTGTAACTCCAGATATTTCATAACAAAACATGAACTCTAATGCATCATGCATTGTTTGTAATTTTTCTTCACTAATCCTAACAATATTATGTGGAATTATTCATCGAATCTTTTCAACTATTCTATACACCCTACCTGTTAAAGAATGAATTTGAATGATTTTCAAATAACTACCCAGATGACCAAAAGACTAGTAAAAAGACTAGTCTTTTTTCTAGACAAGTCGGCCCGTCCAGTCTAGTCTTTTTCTCAAAAAGTCCTGGTACATGACTAATCTGAAGTCGCGTATAGTCCATAGCGCCCGTCCAGACTATGAAAGTGACTGGAGCCATTCTATTTGTCATGCGTAGTCTTTTTCGAAAAAAAAGTCTAGATATGCTGTAACATCCTGACGCCCGTTAAAAATATGATTATAAATAGAAGTAAGAGCGCCCATTACGTTTTAAATGACTAGTTGTGGTCTCATATAATGACGGGATCCTGACTAGTCTAAACTGAAATATTTTATGACTAGAACTAGATTCGAACACACATATCAATCCATGTTGCGAAAACCCGATCAATTCTTGCAATAAACCGCGATTTACCGGTACTTTTACTGGTTAATTTTAAATCCAATAGAAGATTGTACGACTTCAAAAGACGTAATGTTTTATGCACAAATATTTTGCTTGGGTAGCTGCAAGACTGAAAATAAGACTGGTTTTTAATTGATTTGTGTGTTATTTTAAATAGCTGTATAATCAATAAATGAGCCTGAATAAATCACGATTACTTTTTTCAAGATAGGCGATTACTAGAGGGCTTGCATTTCAAACAATGCATATTAATATTTTATATTAAATATGTGTCAATGATGGACTTTTCAATTATGGTGCGCCGATTCACAACGATAGATGGAATCGGTCTAGTTTTTCGATGATCGGTACCGGTCTCAACAGGTCAGACCGGACAGAACCGGTCGGTTCCGTCTATGTTTACAACAATAGAATGAGCATGCATAGTTTGTCAGGCTAGGATGGAATTAAAATTTATACAAAAATTAGAGCATTCTTTTTTAACGAAATTCACTGAAATTTCAACTAGTTGTGATGAGTGTTCTTTTACCTCTACAGTTGTATCATTCGATTTAAGATTTTAAACCTGTGAGTAGTGATATCAAGCTCCAAGAGCTTTTTTGAGAGGAAAAGTAAATGGGAAACGATTTATTGCTTGACTACTTGAAAAAATGAAGATCATAGCACGAACTTCTTTGAAATATAAAATGCATCCGAAAGAGAAAGAAAGAATGCATCAAAAAAATTTTCTCATTTTTATTTCGGTTGCATTTTTATGTCTGCCGATACGCATGATCAAGCTGGAGACAGACATTGGATACTTAGTACAATAAGTAGTACTTTTCGTACGAAGTACGCAAAAGTTGCAAGTACAAGTACGTTTTTTTCAGTAATAGTACATTTACTTAATACTTAAAAATTGTACTTTGTACTTTTACTGAAGTAAATTTACTTAAATCGAAATGTACTCAGTACTGGTACTTAGTACTCATACTAAATGTAAATTATTTTTAAGAGGGTCCTCTCTTTCCCGAAACAATATCTGATAAATTTTTCGTTGCGCAAGGTTCTGTGCCTCTCTTATCGGTTGCACATTTTAATAACTTTAAAATAGCTTTCAAACCATAAGAAAGTTTGTTAGCGCAGACTCTTTGATATTTTATCAGAAATCCACATGCCTTCTGCAACTTTGCTAACTGATAAAAACTTGGCACAGTGGAAAATCTCCAAAAGATGTAGCTCTTTTAGAATAAAGATTGATTTTCACCAAATCTTATTTTATTTATTTCAACATTTCGCGCGGAAAGGTTTTTTCTTATTAGAAGCGCCTTATTTTCATTCGCATCATTTCTAATTGTTCATCATTTTTCATAGTTTTTATTTTGTTTCTCTTAATTGAACAGTGTTATTATTGTCAGCATTGAATTAAATTCAAAAACAAGATTACTATAATTATTCATTAATCAATCCTGATGGCTGAGGTCTGTAAAGAGAGCGGAGGTTGTTGTAATCTGCAATGAGGAGGAAAATCAGAAAATTTTTACTTCAAACTTACCTGTATTGTCTTGTTTGAGCATATATGCGACTTCAATTATATGGATGATACGGAATTGTTTTTCAAATAATATTTAAAGGTAGCACCAAATATTTAAATTCTGTGAATCAATTGTTTGTGACACATTTAGTCTTTTGTGAGATTGTGTTTTCTTTTATTACGAGATCCTATTCATTGCTTATTTCTAAAATATTTTTGTATCCATAATTGTTGCACTTTGGAATCACGAAAAATAGAATAGAAATTTATAACGAGAGTTAAAATTTTTATTAGTTTGATAAAATATCACCGGCTGAAAAGCATTTACCTTTTTAGAAGAAGAAATTCACGAGTTTCAATTTAACAGAAAAAAAACAAATAGCCTCACAAGAATATATCGCACATATGAGAAGTTGAGAAAATTTATTTATAACAACTTTTGATTCACGCGTAAAAATACTAAATCACGAAATAATTGTTCGCTCATGTTTGTTCTTCTTTGCGACAATATCAATCCAGCATGGGAGAATGCGCGTTCAATAGGTGTTGATGATGCTTGAACTGAAAATAGGCGCATAGACAATTTTTTAAGAATGTTTAGTTGAGAATGAAACCAATAATCGGAAAATTTTGTGCGTACTGGATCATTCAAATAAGCATTAAATTCAACTGTTGGATCAAGTGTCGTTGAGTCATTAGAATCATCCATACTACTATCATCATAGTTGAATAATTTCCGACGTTTTACTTTTGGTGTTTAAGTGAAGCATGATGTTGTTGAAAAAAAATTAGTTTTATGTAAATCAGTTGTGAATGTTCTTGAATCTTTGTTCATTTCATTAATAATTAATTGGATGATATTTTGCTTTAAACGATTTTCCATATGTGCCGGTAATTGTAAATCACGAATCCAATAGAATTTAAAAGAAGGATCCAAAACAATAGCCATTACATATAATTCATCACTGTAAGGATCACTTTTGACTACTTCGACTAAATTTAATCGATTGGCAGGTAATACCAGAAAATCGTGTCTTAATTAATTCTTGAAGTTGCTCAATTAGTTTTGAATAAAATGAAATGTCGTCTTTAATGTCCCGAATATGACTAGTTAAATGTACAATTGATGGAACAACTAAACTAACTGTAACAGCCGTTTCTGCTTGACATCTGATTGAGATTTCATAAAATAGTTCGAGAATACTAATTATTTCTTCTAAAATAATAAAATCATTATTAGAAAATTTAATCGGATTGTCCATTATCGATGTAATTAATTCAAGTTCATTTTTGTCGATAGAATCGATGGATTTTATTAACAAATATTCACTGTTCCATCTAGTTAAGTTCATTTTGTTTATATTTTTATTTAATTGCTCGAGTAGATCCGCCATTTTGGATGATTTATGTGCAAAATTTAGCTGATATTTGACATTTTCGAAGTACTTTAGGTACATAAGGAGCATTTTTTTAATCCATCACGAATGCTTAATTGTAAGGTGTGCGCGAAACACGATAAACGTACATCTTGGCATTCATCATAACCAATAATATCATCATCGTAATGCTGAATATCTATAAACTGAAAACTATTCGTGTCGATATCCTCTAAAACATAAAAGAAAACTTTAAGTAAAATAATTAAGCATGAGAAAATATAAACAAGAGTATAAATGTGGAAGTTAGTAGTTCATAGGAAAAAAAATAATTCAACGGATTAAGAAGAGTTATAAAATAATAGATGTTTTCTTCAATCATTAGTCCAGTTTTGGTACCTGCCTTATGTAAAATACGAATTATTTATTCAGAAAACGCAATCATGTACTCCGAAATGAAATTCTTAAGCAAAGTTTTAATGTCTATTTTTTCCATGATCTTAGTTAAATTTTTCGAAATGATGATAACTTATCTATCATTATAAATTGGGTTTTACTGATATAGTTACAGATGCATGCCGCTCTGGATTCGTATTTATTTAGATAAAAATAAAGTACTTACCGTCATATTCGTTCAAAGCTGTGTTTCCGTTTGATATTAAATTAATTTCACGATCATTATCATTACTTTCATCATCGCCGGTTAAACCAAATTTGTAAGCTTTCATCATGGATGAGACATTATCAGTGACTATTTTGTAAACCTTTTCTTTAACATTAAAACGATCAATAATACACTCAGTTGCTTGATGAATATTTTCACCAGTATGAGGAGATTTTAAACGAACAAAATCAATTAAATATGATGCTGGTTGCATTTTGAAATTAATGAAATGACATGTAATACCTAAAAATGATCTGCATTTTCTATCAGACCATCCACCAACAGTCAATGTTAAGTAATCAATAGCACCTAATGTTTCACGAATGGTTTTGTTTGCTTGTTCTGTAAATTTAGCAATTGTATGTCGTTTCAAATATTTAGCCGACGTTGGATTCCATTTTATGTTGCATTCTTTCATAAAATCACGAAATGCATTATTTTCAACTAAGCTTAATGGTAAATTGCATTTTATAATCAAATATTTACCAATAGCTTTATTAATTCGATATTGTTTGTATGTATTTGTTGATGATTCTGTTGTTGATTGATCGTTACTTGCAATGCTTCCTTTTTCTGAAAAACCTTCATCTTGTTTCAAAAAATGTAGTTCATATTGAGATAAATGTTTTCGCTTCAAATGCTTTAAGAAATTACTAAAAATTCCATTTTTATCTTTGTATTTTTGATCACATAATTTACAATGACCACAGATTCGGTTCTTGTCAACTGAAGAAAAGTCGAAGTATCTTTTCAACCGCTCACTAGCCATTGTTTACTGATGAAGATTCTGAAAAAACAATATTGAAAAATGTTCCAGATCTCCTAAAAATAAATAACTGGTGTTGTGACTTAGATCGAAAGAATTAAAGCTTTTGTTCCTTAGTGTGGCCAATCAGTTTTAATTTACAGAAGTTTCTGATACCTACCGCATATATTTCCTATTATTGATTTCGAGTTACAAAGCTGCAACTTATATCGATTTTAATATCAATACTCTTAAAAATATAGCACAATATGAATGTAGACTATGATTTTTTTTGTTATTACAGATGTCGTTGGGCTGCGAAAGTGATTGAAGTTGATGGAGATATGAATCCAAGCAAAACATGTACTTTTACTTAAGTACATTGTACTTAAGTACGTTTTACTTAAGTAAATTTACTTAAGTCCAAATGTACTCAGCACACATATCCAGCCGGCTCCTATCAAGAGGAGAGGGGAAAATCTTTCTCTACGTATTTTTTGTTGCTCTACCATAGGGATATCGAAAACAAATTTTTCAAAAAAAAATGCTGTTCTGAACCTTGTAGCTTCATGTTGCCATTTGGCAACAGCCGGCTGAAATGTATCAAAAACTTAAAAATTTTTTTTTCAATTTCAATGATTAAAATGCACTATTTAGTGCTTTTTCATTTATTATTAAACGCGCTACAATGAATAAGAATTTCAATTATACATAGAAAAACGAAATAAACGAATAATAAAAACAAGAACAAAAATCGAGAGTAAATTTCGTATGGGAAATGCATTAGGTATGGTAATCTTTGAAGCAGCTGTTTTTCTCGTTCAAACATAGACGTTGATCCCATTTGGAACAGAATAATCTTGTGTAGCCAATGCAACCATGATCTCGACTAGGGGTGCATCAGCTCAAGCTCAAAAGCTCAGCTGAGCTGAGCGAAAAAGCTGTTCGAAAGTTCATTTCGGTAGGAGCTGATTGGTCTGAACAGCTCCTTTTAAAAGAGCTGATCTGATC